CCTCCCCTCCTCCCTCCCTCCTTCTTTCCCCTTCCCTTCCATTCCGTTCTTCCTTTCTTCCTTCTTCTTCTCCCACCCTCCCCCTCTGTTTTTACGTCTTGTTTTTGAGACAGGGTCTTGCTCAGTCACTAAATTACCCAGGCTGATCTTGAACTTGCAGTCCTCCTGTCTCAGTCTCCCAGAATGCTGCGATTACAGGCCTGTGCCATCTCTTCTGGTTCCTTTCTGTCTGAAGATTTCAGAGTGGTGGCTTGCTCTGAAACTGTAGTGCTCTGATAGTTTCCAAAAAATTATTGACTTTGTTGTAGTTCGTTTTTTCTTGTTCTAAGGATGGAAATGATGACTTCCAAGCTCTTTATGTATTGGAGCTAACCAGAAATGCCCTGTGTCTAATAAAGGCATTAAGCTGGTAGTTTTTATGAAGAAAACTCCCAGGAGACCATACTTGAGAATTCTACCAAACTTTAAAAAAAAAAGAATAATACAAATTCTGTATGAGCTCTTCTAGAAAATGGAAAGAATGACACACTGTCCAGTACCTTCTGTGAGCCAGCATTATCTTGATAACAAAACCAAACAAAAACACTGTAAGAAAAAAAATAGAAACTGCAGACCTAGATGCAAAAATCCCTTACAACGTTTTAGCAAATCTAGTAAATATAAAAATCATAACTTTCATGACCAAGTGGATTCATCTCAGTAATACAGAAATGGTTAAACACACAAATATCAGTCATCTTACCATATTAACAGACTACAGTAAATGATATTAATAGATTCAGAAAAAGCTTTTGACAAAGGTAGTATCTATTCTTAATAACTCAGCAAAATGACTGTAATACAATGAGATTTCTGTAAAAAGAGGTCATCTTTGTGAAGCCTCCAGCTATAAGGTCATGTTTTATGGTGAAAGACAATGTATTCCCCACCAAGATTGCGAACAAGGCCGGTCTCACTACTTTTACTCACCATTGAGCTGGAGGTCCTAGCCAGCACAAAAACACAAAAGAAATAAAAGTCATACAGATGGAAAAG